AAGGAGGAAAAAGAAAAGAACATGAATTTGGTGTTGGGAGAGAGAATCGCTCATTTGGACATCAGAAAACACTTCTATCCTCAAATGCACACTTACCAAGTGGACCCCGACAGTCCCGAGAGGTATGTGACAGCATCCAGCAAACCAAGCTTTTTCAGTTCACTCAGGACCCCGAGGCAGGCGATGTGGGCCCGCAGTCCCCCGCCGGAGCCCAGTACCGCAATGACGGGGGCCTCGGAGAGGTTCCGAGCCTGGAGACAGGGTTGAGACAAGATGGGAGCCTAAGACTCGCTTGTGTCAGGTGCCACAGGTCGCATGTTACCACTCTGGCAATATAGAAGTCTGCACTCTCTACCTCACCCTCTTGTACTCATCCTGGCTGAACTGGGCTCCAACCCAGGTACAGAAGATGTAATCCTGGGGTCCCCGGGGCCTGCCTCACTCACCTCATCAGCCTTGACATTCAGGTTTTTCAGAGCTGCCCACACGTGCGGGCTGCGTTTCTTCACAGCCTTCTGCTCTTCTTTCTGCAGCCCAGGGTAGATGGAGACCTTGACCCTTCCAAGAATAAAAGAAAAACAATAAACTCCAGAAAAATGGCAGTGAGAAAGAAGGAAATGGTTTGTCTGGAAAGGTGCTGTCCGAGAAGGTAGGCGGCAGCCCTGGACTGAGGGATGAAACACAAAAGTGCCTGGATGGGACATGCAGGCCAGAAATGAAAACATAAATAAAGCATATAACATATCTGATAGTGATAATTTGCTGAAGCTATGGCATTTTCGTTTCCAGTGAATACAAATACAGTTGTCCCTCTATCTGGAAGTTTTGCACCTGGGAATACAGCCAACCTCAGGTCAGAAGCAAGGAAGAAAACGCTGTCCAGACTGATGCTGTACTGACCTTTTCTCAGTCATTATTCCCAAAACAATATAGAATAACAACTATTTACATAGTATTAATATTGTGTAAGGTGAGATGATTTAAAGTACACAGGAGAATGTAAGTATATTTTATATTATTGTTACCTAGGAGACTGGAAAATCTAAGGGCTTTGGTAATCTATAGGGGGACTGGAACATCAGGTGGTTCTAGAATCAACCTTCCTGGGTACTAGGAGACAGCTTACACTATTAATGACATGGTGCAGCCATTTAGCACTTCCCCAAAATATAAGACAGAATTGTCATAATATCCAGCAATTGCACTCCTAGGAATAGAGTCATATAAAGTGAAAGCAGATGCTTACAAGCTTATGATATGCACAGCAGTGCCATTCATTCAGAGAAAAGGGAGAAACAAGCCAGCACAACGCATGTGCCTGCATTCAGCCCTTTTTGGAGGCTGAGGCAGGAGGATCACAGGTTCATGAGACCAAGTCTTGAAATAAAAAGGAGGGGCCAGGGAGATAGCTCAGTTCAATAAGCGCTTGCCTGGCAAGAGCAAGGGCCTGAGTTCAATCCCAGGCTCTGGAGAAAAAAAAAAAAAAAAAAAAAAAAGAATAAAGGAAGAAGGAGAAGGAGAAGGAGAAGGAGAAGGAGAAGGAGAAGAAGAAGGAGAAGAAGAAGAATTATTTTGGACACGGGGAGATGGCTCAGTAGAATAAGCACTTCCCTGAAGAAGAAGAAGAAGAAGAAGAAGAAGAAGAAGAAGAAGAAGAAGAAGAAGAAGAAGAAGAAAGAAGAAGAAGAATTATTTTGGACATGGGGAGATGGCTCAGTAGAATAAGCACTTCCCTGGCAAGCACAAGGGGCTCAGTTCAATCCCTGGTTCCCCCCTGCAAAAAAAGAAAAAAAATGAGTTGGAGATGTAGCTCAGTGTAAAGGTCCTGGGTTCACATCGTAGTACTGGGGGATAGAAAAGGAAAAGCAAGCTTATCAATTGATGAGCAGATAAAATATGTCTATCTGTACAACAAAATGTCAGCCATACAAAGACTCTGATACATTCAGACAACAGCACAGATGAAACTTGGAAACAGTGCTAAATAACAGAGCCAGGCACGAAGGCCACATCTTATACGATTCCTTTTATCTGAAACGTCAAGAACAGGCAAAGTCACAGAGACAGGAGACAGGTCAACATTTAACAGGGTCCAAGGAGAAGGAGAAATGGAAGAGATGCTCCATCCTGAAAGACCTTCCTTTATGGTTGATAAAATATTCTAGGGCCAGCTAGAGATGGGGGTCAGAATTCCTCATGAGCATACCGATCATCCCCGAATTGATGACTTTAAGATATCACAAGATCTGGCTATGGTGGGACATGCCTATGATCCCAGCACTTCAGAGGCTGAGGCAAGAGGATCACTAGGAGTTCAAAGCCAGCCTGGACTATGTAGTGAGTTCAAGTCCAGCCTGAATTACACAGGGAGACCCTGTCACAAAAACAAACAAACAAACAAACAAATCTTGAAGACATAGGGCTAGGCAGAGTTCATGAACAAAAACCAAACTGCAGAGGAAATACTTCAAAGAATCAGCAACAGGGATCTCATCTTATTGAGAAGTGTCTGCACATCAAAAAAAAAAAAAAAATCACCAACAGAGTGAAAAGACACCCATAAATTGAGGGAAAAAAATCATAACCAACAATCACTCAGAAAAAGGACTTATCTGAAATATATAAAGAAACAAAAAAATCAGGCCCCCAAAATTCAAAGACACAATTGAAAAATGGATATCTGAGATGAATACACAGCTCTCATCTGAAGAAATACAAGAGGCAAACAAATACATGAAGAAGAGTTCCACAGCTCTGGTTGTTTGAGAAATGCAAATTAAAACAGCATTGAGATTCCATCTCACCCCCAGAAAGAATAGCTGTCATAAATAAATCAAAAAAAATTAAGGTTTATTGAAAGCAAGCATTAATGTTCAATTACTTCACCAATCTTGCATAACTGTATCTGTTAATCTGAGCAACAGATTTGATGATAAAAATACGTAATATAACAACCATTTTCAATTTTCCATTCTTGTTTGGAAATTCTGTACCATATGTATTGTTGTATGTTACTCTGTTTCTATCTTTGTTTTTGCTTTTGTTTTTGTGTTTACTCTTCAAAATAAGATTTTAAGAAACAAACAAGCAACAACAACAACAAAACCCATGACCACAAGAGCAAACATACTGTGTGTATTTTATTACAATAAAAAATTAAGTAAACAAAAATTGCCCACTCCCCTATCATTCTACTTCATAAAATATTAGTAGAAAACTTAAAATTACATTTGTGACTCACCTATTGGATGGTAATTTGGAGAGCTCCGTGGAGTTCATCTTGTCTGATTTCCTCAATTAATTTTCTTTAAAATATTTTTCTTTCCTATACACACTTCTCAGAGGAAGAAGTATAAATGGCAAATAAATGAAAAAATGGAAGGCCAGATGTATCTTGAAGGCACTCTGGGTTTCCACTGCAACTACAGTGAGAATGATTATAGATGAATAGTCCTTAAAAAAAAGATCAGTTCATCAATCCACCTGTTCCATGCAACTGCTTACCTAATAAACATCACAGATCATATTAGTCAGAAAAAATATTAGGGTGCGTGCAGATAGGAGGTATCCAGAGAGAAGACATCTGTGTACCCCATATCTGCCCACCACCTGCATGAAGGCCCAGGAGACTTTGTCTTCCTTGTGGGCACTGGGCAGGGGCCACCCCTCACTTTACAGAGGCAACAGCTTCTAGGTCTTGGTGAGGGTCATGACCGGTCCTTGCCCTCCCCTAAACCTGACACTGCTCTCCAATGCAAGGCCTTGCCCCTGTCTCACATGCTCGTGTTTACTCTTCAAAATAAGATTTTGAAGGTTGCTAGCGGCCTGAATGAGAGAGCTGGGATGCTGGCAATGGTGTGCTGTGCCCTCTTCCCCTCTGTGGAAGGGGTTGAAACAAAACGGGTGAAACGGTGGGAACAGTTAATTCTGGCGAAGGAATTACTGGTTGGAGTTGCTGTAGTGAATGGTGAGCAGAGTTGAAGTCATGCACACACACACAACAAAGGATTTTTAAAATCCTACACCATGTGTGGTGGTGTGCATGACTATAATCCCACACTCTGGGAGCCTGAGGCAGAAGGATTGCAGTTTGAGCTCAGCCTGGACGTCTTAGGAACTTGGCAAGAGTCTGTCTCAAAATGAAAATACAAGAGGGACTAAGAGGGTTGGGGATGGAGCTCAGGATGAGGACCCTGGATTCTGTGTCCAATACTGCAAAGAAAAAGAAAACCCCGAGCCGGCTTTTATTCCATTTATCGCTTGACCTATTCCTGTACCAGTTTAGAATGAAACTCTGGATTTTTCTGACAGTTGAGCTGTCCCAGGAAGCCACCACCTGCCAGATGCCCTAGCAAAGGCCACATCTGCGGCTTCAGGGTCAGCAATCAGACTGCAGGCTGAGCCTCAGGAACACAAACACACAGAGAAAAATTTAAAGGTTTTGGTACTTACAGACCTTGGGTGCTCAGCCAGCCTTGAATGAAGGAGAGACAGAAGAAAAGCAGAGGAACGCACTGTTCTTTATACTCAGAGCTAGGCTGTGAGTCTCGGCACATGGGTGGGCAAATGCCTGACTGGTCCATTTAAAGGAAGTTGCAGGAGCGCCTAGAGTCCAGCCTGTCTGGTCAAAGATACGCTTTTGGTTTTATCTCTGGTCACCTGCCTGGGCTACTAGGGTGTGGTATAGAATTGGAAATTGCATACAAGGTGTGAACCCTGCTCTTGGAAGGAGAGCCCAACATATGTTAAAATAGACCCTGAGGTTGCATCCAACTACAATTATACGGTATTTTTAAAGCTGATGGTTATGTGTTTTTATCAGCCATAAGGGTCAAACTCCCCATTCATAAGCTCATTTCCAATTTCTCTCACTTTTCAGGGTATTCCTGGGTATTTGTTCACCCTTGCTGCCAGCACTCTTCTTTTTTTCCAAATTTTTTGAGATAATCTCAGACAAAGAAAAATTGTATCTATAAGATGAAAATGTGATGCTTTAACATACATAGAAGCACAGAATTGAGAGAAATTGGGAGAATTATGTCTCCCCTTTCCTTCTGCCTTTCCCTCTGCTGATGAGGTAGCAAAGAGAATAAGGATAAGACTACATCAAAGCATCAAAAAACAATAAATAAAGGTCAACTGACAAAACTCCCAAACTCCAGGCATCCTCAAAACCAAAAGTACATGACCCAGACTTTCTTCCAACCTCACTGCATAGTGGTTTTACACACACACACACACACACACACAGTGGACTTTGGATACCATGACACTTCCTCTAAAAACCCTCATAAGATCAAAGCCTGCCCCGAGTCCCCTTGGACCATGATCCTTGGCAGTTAATCCATGATATGGATTCTCCCATAATCCCAGACCTTATGAGACCAGCACCTGCCTCTGTGGGGAGTGAGCTCTTCTCACCGACCTGCCCTTCCTCCTATACAGTGCACATTCACTTCATTTACTTCTTTCACTTACACTTATTAGTCCATTTAAAATAAATCTTATTTGTCCTCCTTTTGTGTGTCCTGCTCAACCCTTTGTTCAGTATACCAAGAACCTCGAAACAACTCCCCCAGGATTCCTCATCTGATGACACCGATGTGCCCTGTGGTGGATTGACAACTGGTGGTCAACTTGTAACAACCAGCTGCACTGAATCCAAGTGGTGCTGGGTGTGAGAGGTTCAGCTGAGGACTACTGCCTGCAGCTTAAGTGGCAGAATGGGAGAAAAAGAAGTTTAGAAACTGTAGGCAGCTGTTGGCTTTCCTAGAGGAGTTTGTCATGCTGGCTTTTCGGATGAACTTAGCTGTCCTCAGTGTTGGAGGAGCTCAGGACCTTGCTGTCACTGAAAACAGCTATGGTTCACTTTAGGGGAGCTCTGGTCCTTACCTTGAGGGTCACTTCCTGGTTCCAGTGCAGATCCCTCAGCCTGTGAGCACAGATCCTTCACCACTACTAGCACAGACTTGCTGGCTTCCACCACTGACCTTTGGGCCTTTCCAGCACAGATCCATGAAGCAGACCTGCATGAGACATTGTTGGTGGGCTCCAGGCCTCCAGGGAGGCTCATGGGGGGCATTGTTATGGGCTCTAGGGCTTCAGCTGGACTCATGAGGACATTGCCATGGAATCCAGGCCCTCAGCTGGATTCTTCGGTCTTTATGAGTGGACAGATTTCCTGCACTCTCTGGTATATGACTTTCTGGGTGACTAATATTAAAAAAAAAAAACTTATAATTGTGTGTCCTGTATATAATTTTTTCCCTTGCAAACTCCTGATTAGAACACGTCCTTTCAAAAAATATTTTAGTTTGCTTGCTGCCTTACTTTTAAAAAAAAGAACATGCCCCTTATTAAACACCTCTCCTATTCTCCCTCAGGTTCTCTTTCTCTCTGTTCCACCTCTCCTACCATCTCTGCTTTCTTTTCATTCTTTTTCACATTTTTTTCCCTTATTTTTATTGTCTGGGGGATCAAACCTGTGGCCATGGCTCCGGTATTTTTAAAACACGTTTTTTTCTGAGATAGACTCTTGCCATGTTGCTAAATTCCTGAGGCTGGACTCCAACCTGCTATCCTCTCACCTCAAGCCTTCCAGAGAGCCTGGATTAGCGCATGTGCTGCTACATCCAGCTGAATATTTTTCTTAAATGTCATTCCTCACTTTCACTCCCTTGGAAACACTCTCAACACTTCCATTTCTCCTTACTCCTTCCCCTTTTCCTTCTCTGCTCTCTTATCCTCCCTCTCTATCAAGGCAGAAAGGAGCCCTGAGAATCAACTGTCTTGGAGGTTGGGAGCCGACATGTGGCTAATGGCCCAGCAGTCACCAGCCATGAAGAGCAGCATCCTTGTCTTTGGGTCACAGTTCCCTGTCCTTTAGATAGGAGATCAAAGTGGCTGTGATGGGCAAGTGGAATAATGGGGAACCAGTCCCCAAGACAATTAGCATAGTGGGAGAGGCTTCAGTACAGCACCACTTTCCTCCACCTTCCCCAAACTCCCCCTTCTTTCACTTGTATTCATCTGCTGTTCCTCTTTCCTCTTCACTCTCTCCCACGTCCTCTCTCTTCCTTTCTCCTCCTCCCTCTGGCCCAAACTTGGCACTTAAATAATGATTTTCATAATGGCAAAAGGTATTGCTTCTTACTAATTTTTGTGCATCATAATTACCTGGTCAGGGCCAGGACTATAGCTCAGCCACACAAGCATCTGCCTGGCAAGCACAAGGTCCTGAGCTCGATTCCTGGTACCAATAATAATAATAATAATAATAATAATAATAATAATAAACTTGTCAAGATTTCAGGGTCCTCATGTGGAAAACAAGATAAATAATAGTGTCACCTCCTGGGAAGACTTATCCCAAGTGCTTACAACTTGCCTCACACATACTAAGTGCAGTCCAAATGTTATCTTTGTTCCCTGAGTTTCCCTGGAAGAGACACAGACATCTGTCACCACGCAGAGACGGCACCAACTTTCTAGAGTGACCAGACATTTTAAAGAATAACCTAGACCAACTCAGCTTCAAAAGTGAATGAGTTTATTCATTTATTAGAGGTTACAGAGCAGTGACATTCTTATACACGGCAGCACTAGTGAGGTCACCGTTATTCATTTGTTAGGCTACCGTTCCTCTAAGACTGTAAGAGAAACAGTAAAAGGCAGGATCGAAGATAAGAAGGCTTCTTTGGAAAAGTTCTGTGTACTCTGTTCCCACCTCACCCTTCTCAGGAACTCGGCCTGCAGGAGGAAGCATTGTCAAGGTGCAGCGGTGCATGACCCTGCTGTGTCACAGGCTGGCACAGCTCAGCACAGGGCCAGGGCTTGCTGGACAGCAAAACGCTGAGCTCAGAAGGCAATTCACCTTGGCCTTATGAGCTTGTATGACCGGGTAAAAAAGTCAAACAGGACAAAAATATTGAGGGTGAAAACATTTTTTCTCTTCTATTCCTGTCTTAGGACTCATTCTTTCTCTGTAGAAGCAACTTCTTATGGTTTCTTTTATTCTTCAAAGGTTAATGTAATCGATTAAGCAATTAGACATACTGTTTACATAATGTGTGTCTGTGTAACAGTGCACATGTGACTGGTGGTGTGCTGGTGCACACTGAACAACTGCAGCGGGAAGGGTACACTAGTGTGGAACATCGGCCAGTTTCTCTGGTGGGTGTCAACATCCCCACCAGGGTTGATTTCTAGCTACTGACATGATGTCAGTGTGTGTGGAGCTGGGGTGAGGTGGGTAGTTAGCTTCGGCACGGCACTGATATGCACAGGTTTGTATGTGTACACACATGTATACATGTGTTTATAGGAAAACAGCAGCAAAAATGGCTTTGATGACGAAGGGACCCAGAGAATAAAGATAGCCTCCAGAGTGCAGCCTGGCCCTAGATTTGATGTTAGTCCAGCAAAACCCACATGAACTGTGACCTCCAGAACTGAGAATTAGTTGCTTAAAGCCTCTCTCTCTCTCTCTCCCTCTCTCTCTCTCTCTCTCTCTC